TGTGTGTGTGTGTGTGTAGGCTTCTTGCTTCTCAGAAGCTCTGGACCCCTCCTCATGCAATGCCCCAGGATGCCAGCTGTATTGAGCTCTGGACCCCTCCTCATGCAACGCCCCAGGATGCCTGCTGTATTGAGCTAACTGCACAGCAGCTCCCACTGCAAAAAGTAGACTCAAATTACAGCCAGCTGGCTGCTCTTCTGCTGGAGAGGCAGGAAACTCGCCTAATTTGTGTAGTCAAGCTTTCATCCATTGGCCTGACTGATCACTCCAACACCCAGCTTTCATGCAGGGACAGGGTGAATTCCCTGTTCACATCCTGGTTTCAAACCCAGCAGGCTTCCGTTTCTTCAGGGCAAAGACTGCTGAGGGGGTCCTGCTCTGTATCAGTTTCTTGGTGGGGTGTGAAGGGAAGCTTTGATTTTGGAGCTCTCCCTGACTGCAAGTTTCACAGTTGACCTGAATCAGTCATCCCTTTTTGGACAGGTTTCTTCAGGTGAAAGGAACTCCAGCAGGGTGACATGGACCTTTTTGAGTTTTTTCCGTACCTCACATTGTGAAGCTTGGTGCACAGTAGAAAGCAGAGCCAGCCAGCTGTGTGCCAAATGAAAATACACTGTACAGCCATAGTGTGTACAAGATACCACTAAGTAAATCAATACTGTTAGCATTGTCAGCAAGTATTACAGTATTCACCATTCTGACTGAAAGCAGCTAGGGGAGGATGTTTTGTTTCTGCAGCGTTTTCTTGTGTTGCAGTTCAAGTAATGATTGCTCATCTGAAACAAATATTTTATGTGTAATTTAATCATTCTTGGCCCACTGCTTCCCAAAATTTATACACCACAGATTGGAAATCCCCTGGTAAATAGCCCTGAGAAGTGTCAGCTGCTATGGTCAACTTCTCAATGAACTGAAAAGTCAGACACCCATTATCATTTGGTTATGATAATTATGATAATGTTGGTCATAGATTCATAGATTCATAGATTAAGGGTCGGAAGGGACCTAGTAGATCTTCTAGCCCGACCCCCCGCCAGGGCGGGAGAACAACAAAAAACCCCAAAAAGAGAAACGGGACTCAGCCAGGTAGGCATCCAGCCTCTTCTTAAAGACCCCCAGGGTAGGGGCCAGCACCACTTCCCTTGGAAGTTGGTTCCAGCTCCTAGCCGCCCTAACCGTGAAGTAGTTTTTGCGGATGTCCAATCTATACCTCCTCTCCATCAACTTGTGCCCATTACTCCTTGTTATGCCAGCGGGCGCTAGGGGAAACAGCGTCTCCCCCAAACCCTTCTGGTCCCCCCTAGTGAGTTTATAGACGGTCACCAGGTCCCCCCTCAGCCTTCTCTTGTGGAGGCTGAATAGGTTCAGGTCCCGCAGTCTCTCACTGTAGGGTCTGCCCTGTTGTCCCCGGATCATGCGGGTGGCCCTCCTCTGGACCCTCTCCATGTTGTCCACATCCCTCTTGAAATGGGGCGCACAGAACTGGACACAATACTCCAGCTGTGGCCTGACCAGCGTCGCGTAGAGGGGGAGGATCACCTCCTTGGCTCTACTCGAGATGCACCTGTGGATGCACGACAAGGTCCGGTTAGCCCTGCCAACCATGACCTCGCATTGTCGGCCCATGTTCATCTTGGAGTCAATAATGACTCCAAGATCTCTTTCTGCCTCCGTGCTCTCGAGTAGGGAGTTCCCCATTGTGTAAGTGTGCTGCTGGTTCCTACTGCCCAAGTGCAGCACCCTGCACTTGTCCGTATTGAAACGCATCCTGTTCCTGTTAGCCCACCCCTGTAACCTATCCAGATCCCTCTGCAATCTCTCACTCCCTGCTAGCGTGCTCACCTCCCCCCAGATTTTGGTGTCATCAGCGAATTTAAACAGGTTACTTTCCACCCCATCATCCAGATCGCTGATGAAGAAATTGAACAGCGCAGGCCCCAGGACCGAGCCCTGGGGGACTCCGCTACCCACCTCCCCCCAGGTTGAATATGACCCATCCACCACTACCCTCTGAGTGCGACCCCTCAGCCAATCTGCAATCCATCTGACTGTGTAGGCATCGATGCCACAGTCGCCTAGTTTTTTAACTAGGATGGGGTGAGAGACGGTGTCAAAGGCCTTGCTGAAGTCCAGAAAGACTACATCCACCGCGACACCTGCATCCATGGCCTTTGTGACCTGATCGTAGAAGGCAATCATAACTTACTATTTTGTTTCTCCTATAAGTAAGGACAGAAACATTTCTGCATAATTTACTGAGTGACATCTCATAGCATGAAAAGTGCACAAGAATATTGTGGGGAATATTCTAAGATTTTATCTTCACTTAGATTAAAGTCAATGTAACCTTCCGTGCCGATCCCCCGAGTATCGTGCATTTGGGTTCTTCTCGAATCTCGCCATGGCTTCTTGGGCTGCATGGCCAGGCTATTGGGAGTGACCTTGGGTCAGTTCCCCCAGGGATCTCATGTGCCACATCTTTGGTGATAAGTAGTTTCCTATCGGGAGGATGATGTCTGGTACTTTCCCTCCCCTGGTACTTTCCCTCGGTCGTCCTCACGATATTTCTTCTTGGGGCTTCACCTCCCCTACACCCCACCTAATGCCAACCATGATGTTGTCTGTCAGGGCCGATGTTCTGGCCCTCCCTGGCGCTCAGTCCCGTAGGGGCTGTGGTCATTGGCTACTGGTGGTATTCGTACCAAGCATCCCCTGTGGCCCCTCTTTGCTTCCAGCTTACACGGTGTTTGACTCTGCCCAGGCTTCAACCCCGCCTTGCTGCGTCATTTCCTCTCCGGGTCCGGTACCTGCTGTCTGTCGTCCACGTCAGGGTTACATCCCCGTTGCCTCTGCCAGTGTCCCAGTTGCTGCTGCTGCTGACCTCCATCCACGCTGGTCCCATGAGCGACCCCTTGGGCCCTTGTTGACCCAGCATCCCCATCATGCTCCCCTTCCGCAGGAGCCACCACGTCCCCTCATCAAGATTGCCTGGGCGTTCTGACTTAAGAGCCAGTTGGGGACACTTCTTCCAGTCCCCCCCCGCTTCCTTTCTGCCGGGCCTTTTATCTTGGTGCCAGGCATCCGCCCGGCCAATTGCCCCGAGCACACTTTTATAAAGCGTGCTGAGGCAAATGTGGGAGCCATTCCCGGCTCCTCCCAGCTCCACTGCGGGTTTTCCCTTTGATTTCCACCTGCAGCAGCTCCAGCCACCATGCTTTCACTTTCATTGCGATTGGCTGCTGGTGCAGCGTCCTGCCGCCTCTTCTCCACCTCAGGTAAGTTTTCTCCACAGTCAAGGTTAGGTCAAACTTAGTGAAATCAGGCTAGACAGGCACCACTCGCTTTGCCTACTTCAGACAAGCCAAT